AATGTTAATTTAAATAAATAATTAAATTAAATTTAAAATATAATTTAATTTAAAATCTAAAAAATAAATTGTATTTAAATAAATAAATAAATTTAAATATTATGTAAACGTGTAGAAATTAACACAATCACGCAGTCAGTATTACATAAATTTGAATTACTTGACGTTTCGACCAGGTTGCACCGGCCGCCGACACAGACTGACTACAATCGGGATTTACGGGATCTTGTAATATACATATTACAAGATCCCGTAAATCCCGATTTCTATACGTAACTATAAAATATGATGAAAAAGGAAAGTTCAAGCTTAGTACCTGCTTTAATTCTCTAATGTTTGAGACCCCTAAAGCAAGAGTCTATATCCTACGTGTCTTGCATCATCTTCGCCATTATCTGGCAAGGATGATGCAAGATCCGTGATGAATACAACTACTTGTGAAATGCATAATAGTTATGATAGCCCAATTTTGACTCATATACACACAGCTATCAAGTGAAAGTCACTCGTTAACTGTAATATACGTTTGTCTGAGTCATTCGTACATTTGACACGTGCCAATCTAACAGATATATTAATGTGTAATAAATTTACATATATCTTCTGACCTTAAAAGGGAATTCTCAAGATACATTCTAAGAGTTTTCAAAGGAGATTTTTGTTAAATCTCTAAAAAGGAGTATTTTTAGGCTTGTGAAGGGGATTAGTCGCTTTTTTTAAGTCAATTTTAGATCGATAAAAAATGATTTCAGTGTAAAACATACGTCTGTGGGTATAAGCATGTGTAATTTTATTACACATATGGTAATAGGTACAATCACAAGGGTAGAAGATTTGGCTGCTGCCTGAGGAGGATTGCACTATAACAGCGACAAAATATGATTCATGTGTGAAGAATTGTATTTCGTCGGATATTTATAAATAGTTTTCATAGCGTTGTATAATATATATAAGTAATAAAAATATAAAATCTAGCTAAGGAATTCCTGGAGTGAAGAGATAGGTACTGTCTGTTGGTTTGTTCTGTGTCTGCGTGTAATTTTTCTATAATATGTATGTATGTATGTAAAATATGAGTGTGTTTATAAGCAATCTGGTTACTGGAGTACAGTCTCTGCTTAGTTTGAGATCAGACGGCAGTGTGTAAAATATGTCTAGCTATCGTTATTATATAAATCTGAGAGCAAAAAATCTCCAATTCACAAATGTCTTAACGATAAATAATTTATAGAGACCTATGTTAATATTATGCCTAAATCTATCGAGAAACTCGATGTATAGTTAACGTTTAATCGCTTTTTATAAAGTTGGTTTCTTTCTTTTTTTTTTCTTTTTTTTTTAAAAAGACAACGCCCGCATTAGGAATATATATTCCTGTGTCGCGGGGGACTTTACAAACACACATGAAACGGACACAAAGAACACCCAGACTCAGAACAACAATTTGTGGATCACACAAAGTGTTGTCCCATGTGGGGTTTGAACCCACAACACTCGGCGTAGTAGGAAGCGGCGTGGCGACCACTTAAACCACTACGCCATGCGTCAGTCCGACAATCAGAGGTCAGTAACGTTTTCTTTAAAATGGGTTGCTTGAATTTGCCTACGTGCTTACATGCCGACTCGGTGGTGTCACCTTGAAAAACGTTTTTGTTATGTAGATTTTGCAAATAACTACAATGTAAGGCTTTTGGAAAATTACATTTTAGGGGTAAAAAATAACAGTTAGGTACTTTTTGACTCCATCGACAGTCAGATCATATGAAGCTTTAAGTTCAACCCTGATATCCTGCGATCGATTTCACGTTCGTACCAATATTACATTTTGGTTTGATATACTTTGCCGAAAATTCCTTAGGGGTAGAAAGAAACCCTTAAGTATATTAAAACATATATTCGGAACGAAATATTTCAGAATTGTTTTGTATCGAACTCATAATGATTTTGATGTCCCACTGAAACCGTTACGGTTTAAAATGATGTCAATTTTAGTCTTACCTTTTAAGGATAATAATTAAAGAGTCAGTGTGTTCATTTTCCTCTAGTTCCCTGCTGTTACAATAACACTATGTTACAAAGGAAATATCATAAAGCTGATGTACGTATATTTAGTAGCAATACTTAATCATTGCAATTGGTGACGTTACAGTTTACCTTCTTGTTTGTGACGCATGGTGCCCATTGGTCTGCTGACATCGTTCGATGTGACGTGACTAATTATAAACAGTTTTATTACTAAAACTGTTTAACTCTTTAGAAGACTATGTTAACATAATAATGGAGGTAAAAAACTACAATTTCTTACCTAGCTACATTAAAAAAATTAGCTATATTCAATTTCGGTGATCAATAATAATAATACGAGTATATCTCACACATCTCACACACGGCCGTCTGATCCCAAACTAGGCAGAGCCTGTGCTATGGTAACCAGGCTGCTGATACACATACTTACATATATTTAAATGTATACATATTATAGATAAATTACACCCAGACTCAGAACAAATATTTGTCCTGGGTGGGAATCGAACCCACGGTTTAGAAGTCAGGGTCATTAACCACTAGACCAACAGACCCGTAAGGTTTGATTAAATTAATTGTTAGAATTCCATAGTTCTCTTCATTCATAAAGGTAACTCCCGCATTAGGAATATAAATCATGTGTCGCGGGTAACTACAAACCTACATGAAACGGACACAAAGAACACTCAGACTCAGAACAACAATTTGTGGATCACAAAAAGTGATGTCCAATGTGGGATTGAACCTACAACCCTCAGCGTATTAGGAACGCCGTGGCGACCGCCCAAACCACTACGCCATCCGTGCAATCAATTGCAGTGTTTTTGTGGCCTTTACCAGCAGAACTACTAAAACTAGGTTAGGCAGACTAGACTTGTTCGATCGAAACATCAATTGAGATAATGGTATGATGAATAAACACATAATAGTATTAAAGGAAGTTGTTTAGTTCAATAGATAACTACTGAGTAGTAAAACAATCTTCAAGGTACATAATCGTCTGTTTCATTAGTGTTAAGGGATTCTAATGTGTATTTTTATATACATTTGATCGCTATTTCAACGAAAATTATACCATTAATTAGCCTCTTTCTATGTAGAAAAATTTGTATTGATTTGTTTATTTTGACATAACAAGTCTTGCAACACATTTCTTTGTGTAAATGTCGGCTTTTGTTCCATACAGTTCTGTTAAAGAATACTGTCCTTTGTCCTTTGGTTGATAATTCCATTTTCTACGTCGAAAACTGTTTGTATTCTTTGCAAAGTTAAATGAAACTGACCACGCATCTTCGAGTTGATTCCCGTGTGAATGTTTGAGCGCCGTTAAAAAACAACAAAGATCGGTTTTGTGTATTGAACCATTACCAGAAGAAATCTAATGCTAGGCACATATTTTATGTTTGGTGTTTGCGGGTAAATTAAATAATAAACAGGTCTTAGAATTTGTAAGGTATTTGTGTACGCCGACGTGACGGCTTTTTTTTAACAAGTGAAAAACCTCCTGGAGCCTTCACCCCAGCGGGGTTTGCGGCGGGGTGGTGTGTCGGAATCGGACCGACTAAAACCACACGGTGTGCCACCCTGCGCCTATAATAGGATTGATCCGGGAACCGCGAAATTAAGACATCCGGACCCCTCCTAGCAACTGCCCGCTACGGCGCGGGCACCACCTTCGGGAACATTCTCTATTTGGGCGACGTCGTCCCTCGCGGCTGGCCGTTATGGCGTACCTGGCGGCGGAGGCGCGCTTACCAGAGCCTCATGCCACCCTGAGTGTGGTCGCGGGTGGACGGGACGGGTTTTCCCCTCCAGCCGCCATAACGGACAACTGCGAGGAGAAATAAAAAGAGAATGTAAACATATATATATATATATATATATACTAACTGAGACCCGCGGTGTTACCCGCGTTTGTTGTTATAACCGCGGGCAACGCCGTGGGGCGAAGCTCGTCTAAAAAAAGTAGCCTAAGTTACTCCTTATGTCAACAGCTATCTGCCAGTGAAATCGGTCCAGCCGTTAAAGAGATTACCCGGAACAAACAGACAGACAGACAAAAATTGTAAAAAATGATATTTTGGCATATGTACCGTGTAAACATACATATGCATTTAGTAAAAAGCGGTTATTTTAATATTACAAACATACACTCCAACTTTATTTATTTGTATAGACATATATATATATATTGCACAAGGCATGTTTTTGTATATTTCTTAATTATTGTAGAAATTTGTATCGTTTGATGGCCATCCAAAATAAATAAAACGAAATAAAAAAGATAAAAGGTAACACAAGAACTTTTTTAGGAATGTCATCTGCAATTTCTGATGCAATATTTTACTACATCCACGACAGACACTCACTGACGTCACGGCAAGGTCATGAATAAAGTTTTTGATCGTCTTAACGTAGAATCTTTACTTGTAGCAAAGAGCAGTGGACAAGCCACCTTTAAAGGAGGAAAACTGAATTAAAATTTGTTTGGTCGTTTAACAACTATGATGACACAGATACCAACTGTGAAGGAACAAGTGTTATGCCTCCCCAAAACAGAGGAGGAGGGCATTACTTAAAAAATCCAGGAAATTCACTATTATCTGTTCCTGCTTGGTCCTATTTAAATTTTCGTTTTTACAGCTTTGAGTTAGTTGGAGAGTATTAGTTGCAGTGACCAGAGTTGTTAAGGAATCTAGTCCTGCGCTTCTGTCAAGCTTCATTACCATAATTATTTTCTGTAGCACCTATTTTTTCTATTCCTGTATAAATCTATCTTTGCCCACAAATTTTGCCGTCAAACCGCCAACAAACCGTACTGCATATAAACAATTGATGTCTATACATTATAGATATAAAAATATTCGTACAAATGTATTCCTAAGAATTTATTAACAACAGACATTGTCACAATAGCTTGCATTTGTTGCAATTTAAAAATCATTAAGAAACGTGAGTATAATACCCATAATAAAATGTTTATCTTTTGTGACGTCACTCAGCAATGGCTCCGAGGAGGTTATAACCGGAATGTTGGCACCGTTTCTGGGTACCCTGTTATCTTGCGCACACAATATCGTACGAGCGATGTGATAACAGCTGATACTGTTTTTGGGACGCGGCCGGTTTGTGCCTACTCGTGCGTTGGGCATTAGGGTTTAATATCTTATTTCGTATGGAATGAGACTTAAAATTGAACTGCCTATGGTTCTTTTAAACGAACTTGGATAATGGGATGTAAATAAGGCTAGACTTATTGTTCTTTTGCGATGAAAAGTCTGAAATGGTAAGTTTTTTTCAAATAGACAACTCCCGTTCTAGAAATGTATCTTGTGTCGCGGGAAACTTTAAAAACATACATGAAAGGGGCACAAAGAACACCCAGACTCAAAACAACAATTTGTGGATCACACTAAGTATTGTCTCATGTGGGGATCGAACTCACAACATTCAGCGTAGTAGGAACGCCTACACCATCCGTGAAGTCCGTGGGAGAGCTATTCTTCGATAAAAATGACGGTCTCACAGAGAACCGGTGTTGAACAATTCCTTCGTTGCATTTCATAGAGGGAATGTAGATACCGGACGCCAAAACCCCTCCCCCCCGTAGGTGACTATGGGCGACGGTATACACTTATCATCAGGTAATCTGCTTGCTCGTTTGCTCCATATAAGATAGGAGCCATAAGCATGTAGATGGGTTTCAAGTTTTATAGCTAAAACGCAGTGCAACAACTAGACATTGTGTGAAAGTACACTACTAATACCAAATTTGAGTATCTTGACTATCTGATCTTATTAAATGCGAATATGAGGTTGTTTGTTCTTTCATTTCCAGATTGGCGTCGGGCAGGCTGTTCCATTCATGTGAACGGGATCGGGAGAGGGCCGATCCCGAGCGTAGCGTCGGCGACGATACCAGCCGGTAGGAGATAGGATAGATTAAGACGCAATTGGGCTGCCACGTCGTGATTGAGTTGGGTGTGTGTATTTCCCTTGGAATAGAGCCTGATTGGGCATGGTGTCAATTCGGGCAGGACCTGAAATAACATGGTCCGGGTGATCCCAGAGTATTGAGGCCGGCCGTCGGTTTGGTTTTTTTTTTTGTGGAATCACCACATACTCCTGGCTCCTGAGTCTACGAGGAGCAGGAGATCCGAAGGGATTTTCCAAAAAACGAAAAATAAAGGTTGTTGGCCATTAAAGAAATTCGTCAAAACCCATTAAAAAATTACATTATGAAGCCTTTTGATTGAAAAACAGTTCGTACTAGTTCCCGATACACAAAAAGTTAGTTTAACGCGATTGAATTCGCATTGTGAGTAAAAGTAAGAAATCTAAGGCTAGTAAAACCTATTAGAAACATCGAGCAAATCAATCAGTCGATGCCCGAAAGCATTAGTATAGTAAAACATATAAAGAACAAAGAGAAACTAAACTAAAAATCGGTAAAAAAAAATTGACCTGTCAAATATTACTTTTTCAGAATAGGAAACGTAGTATGACAGGACGAAACAAATTTTTAGTGTCCAGAGTTTTCGAAAAACAGAGTCAGCACCGGAGTAAAGTTTTAATAAATTCACCACGTGGTATTTTTGGAGCAAATGACCAGACTAGTTGCCTGAAGGTAAATGACTATGCGCACGTAACTCAAGTGTGATGTCGATAAATCATATGATTTTTAAACCACATTATCATATCTGACTGATTTACTAAACTACTGCTACTTAAGTATTATTATTACGCTAGCACAAGACTCGCGAAAGTTCTAAATCTAAAAGAAAAAAAAAAAAAGATCTTTCATAAAAATAATTTTGATTGATTTTAATGGCACTTATCGTTGTCTATGACGAAATCACAATCACATGTGAAATCGTTGTGACTTAATCTAATCATGGCGTAGTGGTTTGTGTAACGGACTGCTATTCCAAAGGTCGCGGGTTCGATTCCCGCTCAAGTCAAACATTTTTGTGCATGAACATTTGATGTTTGATTTGGTCTGGGTGTTTCTATGTATAATATGTATGTATTTACAAAAAAAAAGTATATAATAGTATGTATTTATATCAGTTGTCTAGTACCCATAGTACAAGCTCTGCTGAGTTTGGGACTAGATGGCGTTGTGTGTATGTGGTAGAATATAATATATATATATATTTCATCAAATGAATATGATTTAAAAAGTACCAATAAATTCCATGTCTATTGTCGACCAAATATAACGAAAGAATTGCTTAATCTGTATGATTGTGACAGGACGGCATTTCAGCCCGGTTAAATGTACCGAAGTAGTTATTTATTAAAGCGTTGGAAAACCATACGGTTTAATAAAACGTTATTAATGTAGGTCGGCTCTTACGACACCCACGGGATGAGGAGTGGTGACACTCCGTATTCTTGATCCGTCTCCACACGGACAAAAAAGCAATCTCCGCAGGACAACAACACTGCAAAGAGAAGGAAAACTAGACACAAACCCAATACCAACCCGTCTGGCCAGCGAGGTATAGTAAACCTCCTAAACCTCTTTTCTAAGGACAGGCTTAAGTCCAGCAGTGGGTTGTTAAAAGCTGTTGATGAAAGTAGTTAAAAAATTGAGTCGAGCATTGCTTTATTTTTATGAATAAAAGAAAAAGATTTTATCTTTACCAAGTAAAAATGAAAAAGGATTTCAGATATGAAACTTATCAACCAGGTCATATAACCAGATCACATTCTGTTACCGCGATACATTTTGTAATTTTACGATTATTTGGTAACTGTTTGTTAGAAAAGTGGGGTAAGCAGACACTGTGGCGCCGACGCGTTCGAGTCTAAAGAATGCAAATGCAAGTTGGAACATCAGGAACGGTTGATAGATAGTGTTGCAATGTGTATGAACTACCATTGCCCTGACAAACATTCTCATTGTCAATAGCATGCCTCTTCAACGCAAAGTTCGTTTTCATGATCATATCTGTTAAATTCTGACTGAAAAATACCTCTTAATATCGAATTTAAATTACCAACAGCAGGTTTATTTAAATTACTACCAGAATTTAAGGAAGGTTTCGTCATTAAAAACGTTAAAACCAAAGGTGCGTAAATTTTTTTTAATATATATTTTGACTTGCTTGAGGTATACATACCTCAAGGTTATTAGAAAACGCCTCAAGCGTAAGTCCGCGTTTGTATATTTAATGTGCGCAATTTAAAAAAAACAAAATTTGTAAGAATACTAATAAATTGCACCTAACAGACACATACTTAAGCTACTAAAAATTCACCAACTGTGTGGAAGCTCCTCTTAGTTAATCCCCGTCGTCCGAACCAACAACCAAAATGGCGTCCGACTTAACGCAAGAGCCACGACACCAACGCCATATTACTTTAAAATTATTCTTCTTATTATTCTGTACCTATTTTTTAACTTGTACTACAGTAGACAACCACATACAAATTACATTTAGCCGTATAAAAAATCTTTAAATAACACGCATGAAAACCCAACCCCAATATACCTGAGAGCGATACGACAATAGGTTCACGCCGCGTGCGTTAGTAAGACGTGGTCACGCGCCGCGAGCAGACACATCCACGTCCACGCGCGCCGTTTGCGTATCGGCCCCTCGCCACGCATCTCACACCCACCCGCCGCCATCATGAGCAAGCGGAACGACCACTTCACCGTTAACCCTTCAATTTTACGTATCTCCGACGATAAAACCTTGCAGCTTGTTCTAGAATGTGAAAAACAAGAATGTTTATGGAATACTCATTTGGTTGACTACCCGAATAAAGAGGAACGGCTGTGGGCATATGAAGTCATAGCTGAGAGGTTAGATATACCGAATTTCACATCTCGCCATGTTATGACTAAGTTCAAAAACTTAAGAAATTCTTATTGCCAGGAGTTGAAGAAGATAGCAGCAGACGAGAAGTACAAACCTAAAGTAATGTGGTTCGCGCATATGGACAAGTATCTCCGACCCCACTTGCAGAAGATAAAGTCTTACACGGAGAAAACAAAGGTGAGATTCTCTTCTTATTTATTTATCGAAGATGTGTCTAGCTTTCATTAAACAAAGTGTCCTAGAGTGTCGTACCTTTGCTTAAAACCGCTTGCTTTTATCTTCGTATTTTCTACATGAATCCACAAGTACGAGGCAGGCTAGACTTATTGAATGAAATTCAATGGCCTTTAGATACTCACTTACACGACGCGCCGTGTCGCCTCGTCCGTTCGTATTTAGACTGTCGAGTTAGCCCAGATTTATTTAAAACGTTACTTATTTATAATAGTAGAGAAAGGAAGACCTTACTGATAATTAATTTCTTGCATTAATAATACTTTCAAAAATAACCGCCTTTTTTCCTTCATATAACTCTAGATAACTCTTCATACATTTTAGAAATTTAGACATTGGATAGTAATTTATCTGTTAAAACTCTTTCAACTACGCTATGTAACGATATACAATATTTGTTGCAGTTATTACAAAAGACAACTGACGAAGGTAAAAATCACGTAGACAGTGATGAGCAGATAGAGAGCAAAGATTGGACCATTGAACATACATTACAAAGTGATGGTTCCTGTTCCAACCAATCAACACAATACAGAAATGAAGGCGTAGATAGATTAAATGCCCAAGAAAAGTTTTCAAAGAAGAGAAAATTTTCAGAAGAGTCAATCAACGACAGGAGTAAAATAAAAAATTGTTACATTGATACTGAGGACAGTTCAAATGAGTGTCTGGAAGGTGAAGACCCTTTAACGGGAGTGAGTACGAAAATACTTGAAATAGAAGAAATGCCATCAACAGCCCAGTTAACTCCATCTCGAGAGGTTGAACATTACGAAGCCTTCGGTACTTATATAGCTTCATTGCTGAAGTCTTTGCCGCCGAAGAAGGCTTTACTGCTACAGCCGAAAATCGTCAACATGATAGTGTCAGTTGGCGTGGAGGATCTCAGTGATGGTGAATTCGATCTTCATTAAAATGTTGCTAATATTTTAAATTAAATTTTTGTTAATGACAACATTGTAATATATAGATAGAAATAGACTTTAAAACTCTCTGCATGACTTTTAGCATTTTATCAGTGTCTTCATCAACAGCCTTTATGGTCCAATGCTGCTACTATACCACGCTGACCAGACGGGTTGGTAAAGGGTGTGTGTCAAGTTTCCTTCTCTCTATATTACTGTTGTGCTGCTTAGTTTGCTTCTTAATCGGCTTTTACGACACCCACGGGATGAATGGGGTAGTGACACTCTGTATTCTTAATCCGTCACCACACGTCAGTATAGTGGTTAGTGACTCTGACTGCTAAGGCGTTCTAAGAGTTGGCCGTCCGATGGTGGTAGGTGACATGTCAGATGTTGTTCACCAAATGCAACTATTGCAAGGATCAATTATTTTATATTGTCCTTGCTGTTATCGAAGAACACAAAACTGGTATTATATTTTGATTTAATGAATAACAAGATTCATATTCTTTTGTTTTTTTTTAACCAAAGAACATTTCTATTGGCCTATTTGTGCTTGATACAAAAAAAAAGGCGAGACCAGGAAAAAGGCAGTATATAAATAAGGTCAACTTTCCAGCACCTGTGCGAGAAGACTAGTAGAAGATTTAGTAAAGCAATATAAATGTTCCTAAGGCTTCAGTCAATTACGTAATAATACGTAATATCGGATTGGCCTTCGTTCAATTGGTAGCCTTTAATTATAACGGCATTGCGACTCATTGAATCCAAAGTCCATTTAAATTATGTATTAAGGGTTTATGACATAATCTGGACAATTAATGTGTTAGAAGAACTTGAAGAATGCTATGTTACATTTTTTCTCTCCCTTTCCTGCAGTCTCCGGGATTAATTTTATGGAATGGGACGGAAATTGGTAACAGGATGCCTGCGAAGCGTGAACTTTTTGATTTGAGCATTGAGCTCGCGCGCTTCTAGAATTGGCTGTCAGATGGTACGGGAGATGTCTGACGTCACACATCATATACGATTATTGTAGATCTCATTGTTTTTTTTTGTAAATTAACTTTGTATACATTTTTGAAATGTATATACATATTAGTTTTCTATAAGTGTTATGAGTTTGTTGTTGAATATATCTTGTATAATTTTTACACCACTAAAGTTTAAAAAGGTACAAATATAAAGACTGGTAATATTAATGCTCTTCTTCCTTTGTGAAATAATTCGATGGCTGTTTGAAGTTACAAGAAGTTCTTCTACGTCTCTGTTTTGGATAGAGAAGTGGATTTAGTTCATTATGTTGAAGTTACCACATGAAGGAAGTTACCACAGTGATCGTACGTCGTCAAGAATGTGTTCTTGACGTAGAGGACAACTGGCCTTCAAGATCATGTCAGACCAATCCTTAGCATACAAGAAAGAAAATACATGGTACTGGAAGCAATGATGTCCGTACTACTTAAATAAGATTTATTAAGTTTTTAATGGATGTCATAATATCACAGTATACTCGTATAGTACATGCCTGATAAGTTTCATACATATCGATGATTGAATAAACGTACTCAATTTGTTATGTATTTTTATTATATTAGAAGCTTACTTAATTAAAGTGTGCTCAATTAAAACACACTCGCTATTATCTCAACATTAAAAAAAGTATATTATAACCCGAAAAAACATTCACATTTTTGTTCCCAGCAAATCCCAAATTTGACATGCAATGTTCCCTTAATACCCCAAATAATATAGTCAGGTACCTATCCCAATACAACATCCCTTTTATTCTTTAACGATTCATAATCTTCTGTCCCGTTTTTGTAGTTCTGACGATAGTCACGTAGACATTTGGCAACATTATTTTTCTTGTACTAATTATATACTTCTAAAATCAGATTAAGTAGAAACACTCTACGAGTATATCCGTTCCTTTAAAGAAAGTCGAGCTTATAAAAGGATAGCTTTGTATAAAAATTCACATTCCCGCTCCTGGGCTATAGATAGATAACTCTTTATTTGCACACATTTTACAAGTATTATGGTGCATATAAATATCAGACATGTAATGTACAAAGGGCGGCCTTATTGCTAAGAGCAATCTCTTCCAAACAACCTTAGGATGAAATCAAATGTTTTGGAGAGACAGTAGTAGTTAAAGGTGCAATGGTAAAATTAAATAAATATTTACACATAAACAGATATACAATATACATACATATACACATATACATACGATGTACATACATATACATTTAATTATATATACATAGCTTGTTAAGTATATCACATAGAGACGAAAAAAGAAAAGGAACATTCTTAGCATGCCTTGACGTGTAATTGACTTAATCAAAGTTTATAAAATTCCTGAACTATTCTTCCTAACTTCTCCTGGGCTGTTGTCTCATATTGTCGTGATAGCCAACAGTGAAAGCCGAATAAATATACATATAAATATATCGGTAATATTTGGAAACAGTTGCTACATTTATAGACTGGAATAAAAGTACATAATACTCGCATAAACCCAAAAGTTAGTTAATTTATGTTGGAGGCTTCTGTAAATTGGAGATATCTGTGGCTGAATGTTGGTCGCTCTGACAATGCTCCCTCGTATCTCTCTCTATCGTATATATTATATGGATATTTGTCCGCATTTCCAGCCCAATTACAGACTAACCTCATTAGATACTGAAAAACAAGATAAAAGATACGAAAAACTGTTAGTGTAGATACAAAAACATAATGATAAGTGTATATAACTTTTATATTATGTGCCAATGTAATGTAATGAAAATCGTCCGGGAATGTATCTCTATAATAAATGTAAAAATGCAAATTTATGATAAAATAAGGTTTTAATTTATTTAAATATTAATGAATTGTTTGTTATGGCAGCTGCGGCTTAATAATAAGTTTATTTTTCGTAATCATTAATAGCTTTATAAGGTAATCGTAGAATATGATTATATGTAGGGGAATTAACGCGCTCACGGTAGGTATCAAGTATATACCTTGAATTATCTGAAGTTTCGACAAGTTTGGACTGGCCGTGGTCCAGGTTATAAGGTAATGTTTGTTTTACTGCGTGCTGTAGTTATAAACTTGACCCATGTATATTTAGCAGAACATGAACTTGGTGTTAATTTTCATCACAATTCGTCTGTTGACGGACTTTTCGCATAAAAAAACCAAATTAATAGTTATCATCATCATTGCTGGACGAAAGCCTCTCCTTGGAAAGGAGGTTTTAGCCCACTATACCACGCTGGCCAGACGAGTAGGTATAGGGTATGTTTTAAGTTTTCCTTCTCTTTTTTGCATTTCTGTTGTCCTGCGTAGTTTGCTCCATTAATCGCCTCTTGCCACACCCACGGGACGAATAGGGGTGGTGGACAGTGAGTACTACTTTTATGGTCAAGAAAAAAAAATGTTAGTTATTTTATACATAGATATATTATCTACTGACACATAATACATTAGGAAGGACGAGGAAGTGAAGCAAAAGTATAACTTAATAACTTACAGAAGTATAACTTTTGTGTTGACACGCTCAAATTAGCAACACCTACCGCAGGACTTATGAAAGCCCAAAAATAAAATATCAAATAACAAAAAACATTTTCAACAATCACTGTGTGCAAAATTAAAGTAAAAACCTTCGCTCGTCCCTTTTTACCCGCCTTTGTTGAAATGACCGGCTGTCGCTCCAACCGTCACTTTTTCAATTATAAGAAAATAATAATTTTGTTGGTTAGACTTTTGTAGGACACCATTTGGCGAACCATTTCTATAATTATAATTTCGTACTACACCAGTAAATAGGAAATGACACAATAGAGTAATAAGAATCTTCAAGAAGTAATCGGCAGGAATTAAAGTCTTATTACAAAGTGATAAATGCCAAATATTTGTGTGATGAGCACGATCGTTTGTTCTGTGTCTGGGTGTTGTTTATCTATAATAAATATGTATCTAGAAATATATAAGTATGTTTATCAGCAGTTTGGTTACCATAGCACAGGCTCTGCCTAGTTTTTGATCAGCCGGCCTTGTGTGAGGTGTGTAAGTTAAGTTATACTGCCTTTATTGGTTTGTTCACTGACACGATTTATATAGGTAATATTATTCCCAAGGTGGTTGGACAGACCTATTTATTAAGGTCACTCTTTATGAACACGAGGAGCTGTTAACGGAATTGATACTAACATTATAAATGCGAAAATGTGTCTGTCTGGAAAATTGATTTGTTAGAACTAGTGACGAACATACAAGTACGAAATATCAGTCTTACCGAACATTCTTATTCCGGGTTATTTATTCGAGACTTGCTAGCTATACGAGACCCTAGCTCCTTGGCAGTATACTTTTTCCTTATCTCAATTTCAATTCATTCGCTTGCCCGTCTGAAAACGATTGAATTCCCAAGGAGGATTGACTTTGACATGTTTAAGGCAAGCGGCTGGTCATCAAAGAATTTAGCCAAACCCTTTAACAAGTTACACATTGCGCCGAAACCCGAAATAAAATTGGAAAACACAGGAAAGTAATGATAGATTTGCGAAGGAATTATTTTCGAATGTTTATTATTTGATATACACAAATATTAAAAGAAATGTTACGTATATTAAAAACATTAAGTATTTTATTATCCTACATAAAATGAGAATCACAAAGCAAAAAGCCTTCCAGTAACATCCTCCTTTTGTAAAAAACAAACTGTTTAAATGAATCTTTATTATGCAGTTTTATTTATATATACCTAATAGTTACTCCGATTACATCCTCAAAAGACATTATCGATAAAACGGGCCTGGAGCGACATGTTGGAACATGTCAAAACAGGTACGACTACTAGGACAGCCGCTGAATTGTTCCATCCTCGTCAGTACGGCAGGGTTGCCACCTACATTTTTTTTTTCTTTAATAAATATAAAATATTTTTTAACAAACAGTACACAATAATGAGACAGTGTATTTAGTGAATATTCTTCATTATAAATATGTAT